CGCGTCCAGCCCTGGCTCTCCCCACCTTGTAAAACAAAGCCGGGGGAAAAAAATGCCTGCCTGTGCAGCTCGGAGCGCGCAGCCCGTCTCTGAATAAGAAGTGAGTACAATGGCGTGTTGTTTGTAAAAGCTTCAAGTCCGTCTTTAAAAAAAAAAAAAAATTGTGAATGCTGCATGCCTCATGCTTCCCAGCGCCTCGCGGGAGAGAGCCGGCTATAGAGCAGGAGGTGAGACCCCCGGGTACCCCCCTCTTCCCCATCTCCCGCCGCGCGTTTGCCGTCCCAGCCGGTCCCGGGAGGGTTGCAGAAGCCAGCTGGCAGCAGGCGGACGTTTTCCACCTTTCGTTTCCCGTCCTAGGTGTTGGATCCCAGTCTGGGTTTGGAGGCAGATCTATCCCCGGATCCACTCCTGGCTGCTTCTCCTCACTCTCCCGCGGGTGCCTGGGCGTTTTGCATCTGTCTTGGGTATAGGTTTGGGACACTTACGGGAGTTTCCGAAGGAGGAGGGTCAGCTCTTGGGAGTCACCCAACGGGTGACCCTGGTCACACTTGTTGCCCACAGCGCGGTGGCATAGGCAGTGGTACTGAAAAAAAGCCCATTTCTCCTGGAATTGACTCGTCAGTTGTGGCCGGGAGCGAAGAAGACAAACGTGGGTGCGGATGAGAGGCTAGGCTTAAGCGGAGGCTGTGAGGTGCTGCAGGCAGAGAAGGGAGGGCCTGATGGTGCCAGAGTGTGTGGAAGGGGTGAATCTTTGATTCCTTATTCTAAGGAGCTTCTCTTCATGATCATACATCAAAGGACATGGAGATGGAAACCCAGAGGGTTCCCCATATTAGATCGCGTGGAAAGACTGTTGTTTTTTATTTTGTTGTTTCACCAGGTTCTGCCCATTCTGTCTGCCAAATGTGCATTTTATATATATATTTCTGCTAATTGAAAAAAAAGCAATAACTTAAAAGAATTAAAATACACCAGGATATATTTTAATAATACACACACCACACACACAGTCTTTAAAAAAAAAACAACTCTCCTTTTTCCCCCTAATCATATAAAAATAATATCTTAGTTTGGCATTGCAGTTTAGGATTGGGATTTGGGAGCATCCAGGTAAACGGTCTTGGTGTTTTCCAGTGCTGCAGACCAGAAATCAGTGATGGGGAAAATCAGAAAGATGAGAAGACAGCACAGAGAACTGGGGAGGAAAGTCTTGGACAGCTTCCTTCAGAGAGATAATGTGGAGTTTCTGAGTGATTTTCTGTTATTTTTGTTCCAAAGATGGCTTAATTTTAGACGATGACCTTTATTTTTCACTGAGACTCACTAAGCAGCTTGGAGGTGGGGTGAGGTGGCTAGACAGCACATGACAGTAATTTCAGCTGTTATCAACATTTCTATTAAAATGTTTCAAAAAATTAAAGCCTTGAACACGTGCTGTGCCTTGCTTAGTTGATCAGTCATGTTGGACTCTGTGGTCTACAGTCCAGACCCCATGGACTGTATCCATGAAACACATATCCAGTGCTTATTTGGGATGAAGTTTCCTTTATGAATATCACGTGTTAAAAGGTGTCTGCTCATTTGTGGTTTGATTTGGAGCAGGTGACTGTATCAGGAGGAAAATGTGTACATATCTGTGCATAGCAGGTTGAACCATTTGAAACTGCTGAAACGACTTGTACTTATGTGGAATCCCCGCTTGGAGCCCAGGCTCCAGTTACTTCATCAGAGCGCTGACTTCCCTTCAAAGTCAGAATCCTTCAGAGTTATGCTGATTGAGGAGCGCTCTGTTATCTGCCATCATTACACAACACTCCTCACTTAGGGCTGGCGCTTCACATATTTTTGGTTCAGTGTTGCCTTTTCAATCAAATACTCTGTAAATGGCTTATTTTCCCTTTAGCAAGTGGAAGTCTAGTATCTCTTGAATTTTCTAAAAAGAAATCCATTAATGATATTTTGGAATAGCTGAGATAAATAATAAATGGATTTAGAGTCACCTCAGAGTATATGGGAATTTGGAAGAGAACTCATAAATCCACTCTAATGGAGCAATTAGCTTTGTACAGAGCATGTAGGTCTAAGGTGTGAGACAAGGTTTTAATTTTTTTTTTCTTGATTATGTTCACTATTGAAATGGAAAGAACATGTCATCTCTTGGCTGCACCTGTGATTGTGCCAGAATGGGTGACAACACTTTTGTTTTTCTTTTCTCAAGATATCAGAGATTGAATAACAAAATACAGAGAATACTTAATCACGAGCCCACTTTGGACGCGAGCAAAAAGAAATGATAGAACTATTGAGTAGTTTATTTGCTATCACGTTTTACCAGATATTTACTAATGTTTTACTTCGAGCAACAATGTCTAGAGTGCAAATTCGCTTATAATACAGTTCCTTTATTGTAACGGATTTTTAGATAATTTGCTTGTAGAGTATTCTTGACAACAGGAATAATACATTAGCCTTCTTTATGAGCATTCAGATATCTAGTTTAGTACCATCAACTCTTAATAGTTCTGCAAATGTGTTTACTAGCACATTGGACATGTATAAATTTTTAAATTAATTAGGAAGACTGCAGGCATTCTTTTATTCATTTTTTTTTTAAGGTTCTTGGTCCGCCTCCTGTTTTTTTCCTCCTCCTTTGAAACCCCAATAGCAGCAGAGAGCTGAGACCCACCCCCTTCTCCTTGCACCTCATATATGGTCCTGGATGCGACCTCATGGGCACATTTCTGGTTTAGGCTCTGGCGCTCTTACCAGGATAGCGGGCGGAGTCCAGACCACTTTTGCTGACCCCTCTAACCTCCCTTCTCTGTTGTTGGCAGTGGCGGCCCCTGATTTGCTGGATCCTAAGTCTGCTGCTCAGAACTCCAAACCCAGGCTGTCCTTCTCCACCAAACCCACCGTGCTTGCTTCCCGGGTGGAGAGTGACACGACCATCAATGTTATGAAATGGAAGACGGTCTCCACGATTTTCCTGGTGGTTGTCCTCTATCTCATCATCGGCGCCACCGTGTTCAAAGCCTTGGAGCAGCCTCACGAGATTTCCCAGCGGACCACCATCGTGATCCAGAAGCAGACGTTTATTTCCCAGCACGCCTGTGTCAACTCAACCGAGCTTGACGAACTCATCCAGGTGAGGCGCCCAGGAGTTGGTACTCCGTCTTCCCTGCGGGGAAGACAAGTCAGAGGCAGAGGCAGTAAGTCAGCCTTTGGCTCTCCATGTACCCGTGGGGTCCTCTTCCACTTTTCTCCCTAGCCTAGACGTCTTTGGCCACCGTTTCCTTTCTTGTTATTGTACTGCCTCCTTCTTTTCCTGCCTTTGTCGTCTCTTCTCTTCCTTCTCCTTTATTTCTGCTGCTTGCTGCTCCTTCTCATCCCCTTCTGCCCTCGTGTTTCTCTGCTTCTGTCCTTTTGTCACTTCTGTCCTTCTGTCCCTCTCCCTTTTCTCCATTTGCCTTGTCTTGGAACTGCCAGTGACCACCTGTGAACGTGGGGTCACCTTGCTGGAGGCCCGCAAGGTGAGAGGACCATTGACAAATGAAGGGAAAATGCGAGGCAGGAAAAGTGCAGTAACTGTGGCACTGGCCACCATAGGAAAGAAAAGATGGGCTGTGGTCTGACCCGCTTAAGGTGGGTACCCCTCATGGTTAACAAGCCGTGGCTCACTTCTTTAATCTAACCAAACTATAACTCCAGTAACTGGCTTTCTTAGGTGTCTGGGCAGAAGTAATTAATCACTGCTTTTCTAAACCCCAACTAAAAGCAATTTACTACTAACACAGAAAAATGGAGTTTTTGAATAAAAAGTAATTTAATTTTAATTTACTCTATAATGGCAGAGTAGCATCCTTATGGAAAAACTTTTTTTCAAAAAAATGTTAATCCCAAAATGATGTAAAAATTTCAGTTAGACTCCTTGGAGATGGCTATATTTTTGTTGTAGATTTCTTTTGTTTAAAAGAATAATTGGTCCAACCAAGAATCTTGGTCAGGAAGAAAACCTTAGAATTTATTTCAAGAAGAGATCTGATGGATAGTTGAACACATTTTAACTATATATTCATTTTTCTATGGAGCCTATTTTTCTTACCAGTTTTAAGTCAAATGAGACTGAAAACCATCTGTGAGTCATCAACTGAGCAGCTTCTTCTTCATGTTATGTTTGGTTTTTCACATCATTTGAGTGAGCTGGGATCGTTGATTGAGGGAAGAAATTATTAGTGATTTTTACCCAGTTTTTTGCTTTATGACCTTTCTTCTCATATTCCTTCTTGCCATGGATCCCCAAATGTTACTTCTGTCTTTTATTGCCCTGTTTATAGAATACACACACAAGTCGGGTTTTGTTAAAAGCTATCAAAGCTAGTATGTTCTTATCCTCACCCACCACATTCGGCACTTCTGCACCTCACATATTGGACTTAAATTTTATAAAGGTTCTTTAGCCACTAGATACTGAACTCCCTACTGTTTGTAGATGATGGCACCATTTTCAACATTGGCAATGTACCTGCCAGATAATATTGATTCAACCATCCCATTTCCTATTCCTGCATAAGCCCATTTCCACTTCACTTTTGATTTGTGCATATCATCTGTAGTGGTACTAAAAATCTTTGAAGAATCCCCACTTCCCTGAGTTTTAGAAGAGCTTCTGGTTATTTTGGCAGAGTTGTGGTAAAAATCTCAACTTTGGGATGGGATAAGATGTTTTAAACTCCATTTGAGTACTTTACTAGAGGTGTTATCTTGAACAAGTTATTTTCCTCTCTAAGCCTTGAAAGCTCTATCTAGAATGAAGGAAGAAATAAATTGCTGTGAGGAGTAAAGAGATAATCCATGTAAGGCATTGAGGTGCTCAAGAAGTATTAGGTTTGTTTGCTGTTGTTATTTTTCCTTCCCTGCTTATCTTTTAATTGGACGGAAGCATCTGTTTCAGGTAGTTGCATTCTTACCTTCTCCAGAGAGATTTTTTTGTCTTCTGCAGAAAAAGAAAATGTTACATTGTTTTTGGAATAAACACAAATGGAGCTCAGTCTATGACCTAATTTTTTATTTCTTTCTGCTATCCACAGGCAATCCATTTTAGCCTTATTGATATTCACTGCTGATTGAGTATTTTTGCTTCTTAAAAAAATCTTAAGGATTTTGGTGCTTATTCAGTACTTTTAAATGCAGAGGTTGCCTGTTATTTATTGTCATATCCATCACCTTTCTAACCCTGTGGTTTATTTTTCTCCCTTTGAATATAACTTCCTCTTATCAGAGAAATCTTTGTAATGGCATGGCTCCAAGGGTCATCAGTGTCTAAATAGGGAGGAAAGCGAATGAGCCAGGAATCATATATTAGAATTGCATTTCATTTGTGTGATTCTCATAAATTTCCAAGTGTTTTCCCTATGTTTATTTTCCCTTTTACTCCTGCCTTAAAGCCTCAGGAGTAGTCATATTAAGCAGTAATATTGCAGCACTAAGGATTAGGAAACTAAGACATAGACAGCCCCACTGACTTACTCTGGACAGTATCATTAGGTTCAAAGTTCAGGTCTTCAGATCTGGTTTTTTGTCCATTGAGTCAGTGATGCCATCCAACCATCTCATCCCCTGTCATCCACTTCTGCTCCTGCCTTCAATCTTTCCCAGCATCAGGGTCTTTTGCAGTGAGTTGGCTCTTTGCATCAAGTGGCCAAAGTATTGGAGCTTCAGCTTCAGCATCAATCCTTTTAATGAATATTCAGGGTTGATTTCCTTTAGGATTGACTGGTTTGATCTCCTTGCTGTCCAAGAGACTCTCAAGGGTCTTTTCCAACACCACAGTTCAAAAGCATCATTTCTTCGGGGCTCAGCCTTCTTTATGGGTCAACTCTCATATCCATACATGACTACTGGAAAAACCATAGCTCTGACCATATGGACCTTTGTCAGCAAAGTGATGTCTGTGCTCTTTTTTTTTTTTTGGTATTAATTACACCTCTGAGTGGGCAATTGCAACCTAATTCCACGCTGTGGTTGTGTCACAGGGTAGCCTAGACTTGGGGGCAGGAGGGAGATAGGGAAATGCAGCCCTAAGGCACATGAGAGCAACTTCCTCTTCTCTTTTGATTCCCAACATGTGTGTTCCAGCCAAGTGCTGTTTTTGGCACAGGCCCTCTAAGGCAAGATTGAGGTGGCGGCAGAGATATCAAGACAAAGAGATCTTTTCTGGGGTGAAATACTTTGAAAACTTTGACTTTTCAACTTTCTTTACATTTGGTAGTTTGATATGAGTGCAGAAAAATATATGGAAACATCTTTAAATTTCAAGAGTCATGAATACATTAATAATAGCCAAAATAAATGAGCAATTTCTATGTGCAAGACAATGTTCTAACTCATTATATGTGTTATCTCCTTTAATTCTCTTAAACAACTCTATGAGGAATGTGCTTTATTATCTATATTTAACTTACCTAAAACTGAGTCAAAAGGAGCTAATTTTCTAAAAGTTAGACTGCAGTGTTATTCAAAGCTAAATGGACAAACTCCAGAGCCTATGCTTTTAGCTCTTGAATTTACTGCCTCTAAAAACAGGTAATACGCATTAAAGTTTGCTGCAAAGTTTTCTTTTGTTTTTTTAGTAAAGTGTAATGAATATCAAACTATAGTCCTTTGTATGCAGTGATTTATATTTTATAACATAACTTTCTCTTCATATACACAGAGAATATATAACCTGTATTTTAATATTCTTTTTGGACAACACTTCCTGATTTACTCCTGTTTGAATGTTGTGAGCCAGTAGAAGCATCGATATTAGATATGTGAAAAAAAGTGAAAGTGTTAGTTACCCAGTCGTGTCCTACTCTTTGGGACCCCGTGGACTGTAGCCCACCAGGCTTATCTGTCCATGAAATTCTTCAGGCAAGAATACTGGAGTAGGTTGTCATTCCCTTCTCCTGGAGATCTTCCTGACCCAGGGATCAAACCTGGGTCTCCTGCATGGCAGGCAGGTTCTTTACCGTATGAGCTACAGATTGTTGTTGTTCAGTTGCCAAGTCATGTCCAACTCTGCTTGATTCCACGGACGGCAGCATGCCAGGTATCCCTGTCCCTCACCATCTCCTAGAGTTTGCCCAGGTTCACATCCATTGAACTGGTGATGCCATCCAACCATCTCATCCTCTGTCACCCTCTTCTCCTTCTGTCTTCACTCTTTCCAAGCATCGGAGTCTTTTGCAATGAGTCGGGTATTTGCATCAGGTGGCCAAAACATTGGAGCTTCAGTTTCAGCATCAGTCTTTCCAAAGAGTATTCAGGTTTGATCTCCTCGCTGTTCAAGGGACTTTTAAGAGTCTGCTCCACCACCACAGTTCGAAAGCATCAATTTTTCAGTACTCAGCCTTCTTTATTGTCCAGCTCTCACATCCATACGTGACTACTGGAAAACTCTTAAATTAGATGTACCTGGTTTTGATCTACTTATTTCCATGTTTGCTGAATCAATTATGAGATTTAAAAAAAGAGCAAAAATTTTTGATCTATACATTGATATAAAGTATTTCATGAGATATTTGACTTTTGTTTTATCATTTGAGCTTTACCCTCTGTGAGGTAGAAGGTATTCTATCTGCTCTTTGGGTGAAGAAACTGACACATTTAGCAAAGTCATGTGGTAGCCTCAGATCCAGGTCTTGGAGTCTTCCTGTTGAGGAGATTATATTCTCTGCGTGGTTCCCTCCTTTCAGTTTTGTTCTTACTGCTTCATTCAGTGGCATTTATTGAGCACTTCCACTATGTTGACCTTTGTGCTGGATATTGAGCCAAGTAAAATGATGGGAATAACGTGGCTTCTCTTAAGATCCTGTCTCCTCCAGAGTCAATGGAGGAGACTGTTGTAAACTTAATCGTAAGGTAAGTACTTACAGACTGGAGCTGAGCTGCTGAGGAAGAAATTAACCACCCAGTGAAAGTGGAGAAGGCACAGAAGAAGTTGTGAAAGGGAATTGGGTTTTAAGTGTGGAATCAGAGCTCTCTGGAGGAAAACTGGGAATCAGCAGATGTTCCAGGCAGAGGGCATGGTGTAACTGGATTATCTGGGTGTGAGGGGCAGCATCATGAGCAAGTCTAGCAGAGCGCATTAAGGCCTCTTGTTCC